CTTTTCTGTATCCACTTTCCTTACTGTAACCATACCTCAGCATGACGATACCACCATCCTCCACAGTTTGTATACTGTTCCTAGGTTTGGATGTGTGCACTTTGTCTGTTGATAAAAGGAAATTGTTTAGGATGTTTTTACAGAGCTGACATTTACATGCCCTAAACCTTGTCCCGTAAAGGGCTTTATGAACATCTATGACAGCACTAGGCAGACATGGGGGATGTGGAGTCAGCGCAAGTCATGTGGTGAACAAATAGCATTGCGATTAAATTTATTTAGTCTTTTTTTATGCCTCTGATGTAATTAATCTTTTTTCTATGTATATATATATGTATATATATATATATATATATATATATATATATATATATATATATATATATATATATATATATATATATATATATATATATATATATATATAATTTTTTTTTTTTCTTTTTACCAGTGTCTGATGACCGTCAGGTGAAGAGATAAAGTCTATTGAGGCAGGTGCATCTAATACCTCACATCCACTGGTAGAAACTTCAACACAGCTTAGCTTTCCATCAGGACCTTACTGAATTTTAAGCCTATTCAACATTTATAGACTACACTCAGTAGCAGGGTCTCAGGCAAAGGAGCTAACAATCCAAAACAATATTTATATCTAATATCCAGCCAGAATTATGTCAGGACTCTTTTGATAGATGTTAAAAGCATGTAGCGCATGTGCAATTTACATTTACTTCACATTCAATCTTTGTGAGCTAGATTAAAATACACAATCAACTCAAACGAAATAAATAAAGACATTTGAAGTTGATTGTTGTATAATCATTTAAATTTTGGAAGAGATGGGTTTAAATACATCATTAAACACGCAAAATAGTGCAGCTTTCATACCAATTATCTGTGAATGCGATTAAACTGACAAAAGGTTTACAGAGTTGCTGAATTTATCAGACAATACACCCAAAAGTTAAAATCTACTGGAACCTTTAAATATTTTACAGAATTCAGTCCAGTCTCTAAAATAAACTTAAGATATTACATAGATATTAGGAAGCCTGCAGGCCTGTATACATGCCTACTATTGAGAAGCGTTGTCTGGACTGTTATTACCTGTCAGAGTTAGCTTCCAAAGGGCCGATGAAAGTGCAGCGACGTCTCATCATCTCCCATCTGCTGATTCACAGCAGCACAAATTCAAAGTGACATCTTGTCTTATTGCACAGCCACCCGAGGCTCATAGTGCTACTCCATAAACATATTGATGTGGGTCTCATCTAGCAAATGCAAGAACAAGTCAGCACCTTAAAAATGTCGTTAATACTGCAGAATTTGTTGGATATGTGACACTGCAGTAATATGTGGAATAAGGTATCTGAATGCCAGCTTCTTAATTTCATGGATCATTTGCTTTTACACACGGCTTTGTCAAATTTATTAGTTTGCATTCATGCTGCCCAGAAATTATTGTCAAATGTGACATTTAACCGATGAAATCTAGCCAAGCTCTCTTGGATCATCTGATGATTTCTTGAGGTTTCTTTCTTTAATTGTGTGGAAAATCCTCTTTTATTCCTCGATTTGAAGATGTTTATGGGTCAGGATCACGGTACAGTCGGATTCATTTGAATCCCATACTCTGTCCCTCATCCTCTTGAGTGGTGGCACTCAAGTCATTTTTCATATCAAGACGTTTCCATTATAAACCACACTGGGTTTGATGCTGGACGTTTCGCTGCATAATTCGCTGCCTTCGGCGACTCAGCAAAGGACATATGCAGGGTGAACAGGGGATGGCAACAGGTTTAAATAGGAAGGAATCCATTAAATTATTTTATATAAAAAAGCAACAAAAAAATGACTCTTAAGACAATTAAAAGTGATTTTTACAGCATAATTTGATGATTAACAAATGTTTTTAAATGTAAACATCCAGATGATTAATTGTTGATCTTGTATCACCTCGTTCAGGTTTGTACAGTTAAAGTTACAAACAGTAGGAAATAATGATCTACAAAATCATTTAGTTTTGCCTATTGTGCAGCATTTACACACTATATGAAGAAATTAATCAGGATGATGCACTGCACTGAAATCGAAGGTGTTAGGCTGTTATGATGACAGAAATGAAACAGCTTTATTGTACTTTCAGAAGTTTACATGTTTCCTTAACATTTGGTTGAATTTTCCACAAGCTGTATGATTCAGTCAAACCTTTTTGGTAGTCTTCTTCAATCTGTTTTCCACGTACACCTTTTCAGGTTTGTCCCCAAACCTAGAGATGCAGGATTTGTAATCTTTGCTCCAATTATGATGACTAATGTTTGGGTTGTTCTCAATTTAGTAAAACTAAAATTGTGCCCAAGATTTAGCTGTCTGGGTGATATGTTGAGATGTTGCTTCAGTGTTTACAAGATATTCCTTTCTTGCAACAAGTAAAAATTAATCCAGTTTACATTGCACAGAAAGGTGCCAATGCATGTTGCAAAGACAATTCATTTAAATTAGAGACGGATTTGTGAAATATTTTCGATCTAAGCAAACTCAGCTGATGACATCAGGTCATTGAATTTACAGTATTTTTTCCTTTAGGATGAGCATGTAGCAACAGTAGAACAGTTGTGTCATTGACTCTGCAGCAAGCCCTCACATAAACATACATGCAGTGACACTGGAGAGGAAAAACTCCCATTTTAATAGGTAGAAACCTCCAGTAGACCCAGGATCAGAGAGAGCAGCCTTCTGCCAAAGCTGTATAGGTATTCAAGGAGTCAGAAGCAGCCATACAAAAGGAACTTGGAAGCACTGATCCAAAAATTATTTCTGTCAGAAATTTAACGGTACACTAGCTCCATAGGTGTCTCTGTCCAAGAAAGAAACTGTTAGGCTCTGAGCCCATTTTCAAGTAAAGGGGATGAAATAGAGCACAAAGTCACAGTGAAAGCCAAGCCCAAAGCTATGTCTATGAGAAAAAAACAGGATTTAATACAGAACAACAGGCTCAACTCATCATCTATAATGGAAGTTGTTGACGGTAGCAGAGCAGTGATACCTAAGTGCATGACCACCAAAATGCTCTGTTAACATAAGGAATGATCAGATCTCTGATATAAGATGAGATTTGGTTATTAAGATTGGATTAGATTCAACTTTATTGTCATTACACAGGTACAGGTACAAGGCAACGAAATGCAGTTTAGGTCTAACCAGAAGTGCAATAGCAGAGAGTGCGGGATAAATAATGGTTCCATAAATACAGGACATGGGTTTCTACTGAATGAGTATAGAGATGAATATCATTATAAATAATGAATATAATATATAGATCACTAGTGTTATGAACTAAATGTACTGCTGGATATGTACCATATATAATATACAGGTGGATATTACTATAAAAAGGGTTTTTACAGTTATGTACAATAGCATATATTAAAGGCTTATACATGAAAGAATGATACTGAACTCTATTCTTGATTTAACATGAAGCCAATAAATGGAAGTCAAAATGGAAGAAGTATATCTCTTTTTAGTTTTCATCAGAAATCTGGCTGCAGCATTTTGGAACAGCTGGAGGCTTTTAACTCTATTTGGTGGACTTGGTCCCAGTAAAATGCACACACTTATTGATACTACCAACCTTGTACTTCACAGATGTATGGTATTCATAGACTTTCAAACTGTGCACTGAGATTAAAAAATGCATTTTAAGCTCAGTTTACTGAAAACAAGAGTCTCTGATTAAGGTTTTTGCTCTTGAGAACATGTGCAAACATTGACTTGTTATGTTTCAGAAAAATTTCTTCTTTCTCTCTGAATTGATGGTTCAGCCCTTTTCAGTACACTACATGTTTCACTGTGGATAATGACACATGGGTATCAGCTTCATCCAGAATCAGAGCTGTTGCATTCACTTTCCTCAAATGTTTTAAGTAAGCTATTAAAAAACATGTCATTATCTGTCCTTTTCACAAACATAGTAATTTTTGTGGGATTTTAATTTTAGTGTACGTAAACATCAGATTTTGAGGATTTGTTTTACAAAAATCTCCGAACCTCTCACTCATTAATTGTGTCATCTGGAAATAGAATAAAATGGGTATTCCTAGCTGATCTTAGACAGGAATAATGCTGTAGCTCAATGAAAGCTCAATTAAAACATGCCACCTACATGAAATCCATTTTGATCCAAATTTTGTTCTTATTATTCCAATTCATTTCAATACAATCAAACTTTTTTCACAATTACATCTAATTTCGTACAATCTAATTCAATCCTGCAGTATAACAGAAAGAAATCTGGTTGATCACGTGTATGTGTAATAAAGCCCCTCCAACTTAACAGAGACAGGTCAAAAGTCTAAACTTCTTGGCCAGTATTTTGTTATCATTATTATCATTTTGCATGAGGAATTTCTTAAACAAGAGCATCAAGTAATTTCAAGTCTTTTCTTGAAATTACTTTCTCTATAGGTTTTAAGGTCAAGTCTAATTCAAGTAAGGTCATCAAATCAAAGTCCTCCCCTCTGGATTTCACTCTAGTTATTTACATGAGGGCAGTCTTACATCCGTACAGGGTCTGAACATTTTGGGCCATTGGTCTGAGACGATATTCTCCAACTGTATGCCCATGGTTGTCCTTTTGTTGAGTATTTCAGGGCTGTCATGCATGACCATCATTTGCAGAATATTGTATTTTCATAGCCTGATTGTCCTGCTCATGTTTAATCTAAAACAAAGGTGTTCACTTTTTTAAGTTGTTTGTTACAAAATAGATCATCAGAAAAGTCAGCTAACTGTGAAGTTTTGACTTGTAAACACAACCTGGAGTGCATAGTAAACTTGGAATCCTCTTTTTTCCCCCTATATTTCTGTTATCCCTTTAGGAGTGAGTCAAGTCAACTGGGAGTTGTCAGTTTCATCCTAGATTCAGAAAGTCCTGTCACCTTCAGAGGCCTCTTCTCAAGACCTTCATCCTCTACTGATTCTTCTAAAGCGTCTTAAAGATGGAGGAAGGCTACCAAAACCGGACTGCTTTTATAAAAGGTGCCAAAGACATTGCGAAAGAAGTCAAGCGGCAAGCTAGTAAGAAGGTTGGCCGGTCAGTGGATCGGGTGAGCGATGAGTACAGCAAGCGCTCCTACAGTCGCTTCGAAGAAGACGATGATGATGACTACCCAATGCAGGGGAGCCAGGATGGAGGCTACTACCGCGGCGATAGCCAGGCGGCCAACGATGATGAGGGTGGCCACAGTGACTCCACAGAGGGCCATGACGAGGATGACGAGATCTATGAGGGCGAATACCAAGGAATCCCCAGGGCTGATTCTGGGAAAGGAGACTTGGCCGGAGGTCCTGGATCAATAACAGCCGGAGCTCAACAGTTTAGAGATATTGGGGCATCTGAGGCTGAGAGGCGGAAGGACCAGGAGGAGCTGGCTCAGCAGTATGAGACCATTTTGCAGGAATGTGGGCACGGAAAGTTCCAGTGGAGTCTGTACTTCGTCTTAGGGCTGGCACTTATGGCTGATGGTGTGGAAATCTTCGTGGTGGGGTTTGTCCTTCCCAGTGCAGAGAAGGATATGTGTCTCTCTGAACCCAGCAAAAGCATGCTTGGTAAGACTTTAATAGTCATAATATATGGTAGGTTCTCTTGTATAGCAGAGACATAGGTGCATGTTCAAGTCCTATTTTAAGCACCTAAATTATTCACTGTTGCTCTGGGTGACATGTTCCTTCATCACATGAATCACATGTGTGCTTTTTAAATTGAGTGAATTACACATACGCCAGTAGAGCCTGTGGGGATTTTCAACAGTACCTGCAGCACAGTTTGGTTCTTTTTATATTTTTTTTAATAATTGTTTAGTAACCTACATACAAAGGAGAAACGCATCATACATTCCTGCTTAGATGCCAACAGATGTATCTATGTCAGTGTCTGATAAATCATACATTAACAGAATCTAGAGAAGAAGAGCAAACATAATAAGTGAGAATGCATTGTAATGCACTATAATGCAATGTTCATAGAAGAAAGAATATTTGTTTAAACTAGATTATAATCTTTGGGATTGAAAACTGAAAAGGGATAATTCTTTTAAAATCTGTGCCTCCTTTTATTGCCAGTTGGAGCCAATATATAATTTTTTATATGGTTTTGTTGAAACAAAAAGTTGATTTCTGTATCTAAACAACTATGGAAAAAGATGTTAGACGGAAACATTTTTTAGGCTCTTTTAATTTTGCTTTTTCTTCAGGTAATATGTTTTTAAAAAGAAAACCTAAGGCTGATCAAATTCTTTTGTCATTGACTGTCACGATTTCTGATAAAGTTAGTTTTTTCATTTTATTGTTACTGTAAGCAATACCTTTATCTCCACGGTCTAAATAAACAGACTTTAGTTCTTCTAAACTTAGAGCTAAATTACCCAGATATTTAATTTTTGAAGCACAGAAGATACTCTTATTGAACTTACAGGGAACCCACTGGTTATTTTCCCCAAACTTAAAGGATATCTTTTAAAATTTGAAGTTTAATTCCCTTTAACCTTGAGTATATAAACAATAGCTTTCTTAGATTCCATTAGAGGGTTTTGTGAAAAAATGCCACCTCATCGTTTCTTTCCTGAATTTGCTTAAAACCTTTTCAAAACCTACCACATACCATTAAAATTTCACTGGCGACCCTCCTGAACTGACTTGATATACTGATGGAAATCTGTTATAGGATATTTAAAGAACTTCCCAGGTTCTTTCACAGACATAAAGGCTAATTTACAGAAAGTAATTTTGGAATTACTGGCTATTCTTCACCACTTACTTGCTTTCTGTTAAGTTTTTTCTAGGACTTCCCAAAAGCTACTGGTTGCATTTCTACCAAACCATATTTGTCAGTTTGTGTATTTAAATTGATTAAACTTTCCCAACCTCATCAACAAGTCATAAAAAGGCCTTTGTTGATGTAGAGATAACTAGTCTACAACCCTAAATAACATGATGTTAAGAAGATACCATAAAAAAATGTAAAGGTTATAATCTCCAAGGCAACATCTACCAAATAGGAATATGTGAATATTTCCCTGTCTGTGCTGTATATTGGAAAATAAGTCTATAAACACTAAATGTTGAAAACTGACACATTTTGTTTGCTCTCCTGGCAGGTCTGATTGTATACTTTGGTATGATGGTTGGGGCTTTCCTCTGGGGGGCCATGGCAGACCGGATTGGCCGTCGGCAGTCTCTTATCATCTCTCTGTCCATCAACAGTATCTTCTCCTTTTTCTCATCCTTCGTTCAGGGTTACAGCACTTTTCTGTTTTGCCGCCTTCTCTCAGGTGTCGGGTAATTGCACCTTCAGCTCTTTTTGTTTTTTCATCTGTCTAACACCTGTTTTTCATGTATACTATTAATGTTTTTCTCTAAAAAGTGCACTTCAGGAGGATTATCTGTTTTTCCACTCGTTAATGTTTTTTAATGGGTCACCAATTTGTAAGACAAGATCAATGTAAAGCTCACTTACAAAACTCTTACATAGTAAAGAAGACAATTTTTGTCTTTTTGTGCTTTTTTTTAGTACTTTAATGAACTGGTAAATAGAAAAGCCAACTTCAGTGAGTTACAAGGTATCACCTACCCACTTAGCACATAGTGAGAAACATGGCTGTGAAAGAGGCTTGAATCATCTCTTGTTTCATTGTATTCGGCTTCCAAAGAGCCAGGCTTTGTAATTTTTAAAATGTATCATCATCATTTTGAATGAATACCTTCTGATGTTGTTCTACACCTATAAACCTATAGTTTAAAATTATGTTTTAATGATTTTAAATCTCTTGGCACTGTAATAGTTGATGATGACCTTAGTTCATTAAACTCTGACCCTCTCTATTCATTTCAGATAGTTGAGCCACGTTAACATAGTAGAAGAATCATGCAAGAATCAAACTGTACCTTAACACATATTAAATCAGAGTAAACTACGTAAATTCAGAGCTGAGGCTCTAATAGACTGAAACAACATGCATGCAGTACATTGTACATACGGGTGCAATAACAGACCTCTTATTACTCCATCTATATTCTGTATTGTTGTATCTTGGGTAATTTTTACAGTGAATCGACAAATTGATTAATATTGACCTTTGTGCTCTGACTTTTACAGAATCGGTGGCTCAATTCCCATCGTCTTCTCGTACTATTCTGAATTTCTGTCTCAAGAGAAGCGTGGCGAGCACCTCAGCTGGCTCTGCATGTTCTGGATGATTGGAGGAATTTATGCATCTGCCATGGCCTGGGCTATCATTCCACACTACGGTGAGCATGAAAATCCGAATGATCGAGACAAAGATTAGGGCCGACATGTTGTCCTGGTCACAGCTAATTCTGATGACTATGATAAGAATATGACTATATATAATATAACGTTTAATGAGTTTAGTTTTAAGTTACTTTAAAGGTTTTGTCTGTTTCTTGCTTCAATTAGTCTCTCTTTTTAACCAGTTACTAAGTCAAATATATATTCTCTGTAAAAGGTTTTTGCCTCCGTTCCAGTGCTGGTCAGCCCTGAACTCAAAAAGTCTGATTTGTATTGAGCTTCTTTAAACCTTAACTAGTCTTTTATTTTGTGCAAATGGAATTATCCTTTATGTCTTATAATAGTATTACCAGCTGCCTCCAGTCAGTACTGGATTTGTTTTTCTCCATTCACGTTACCCTTTATGTTGTAATGAGTATGCATTATCATAGTAGATACAATTTAGGGGAGAAGGGGGGGGGGGCAGGGGGGTTGTTAATGTCATCTGTAAAGATCATGTGAACATACTCTCTATATAAAACAATTTTCACTTTATATATATACATACTACATACATACAGAGAGAGAGAAATTCATATATTTACTCTTTTTTAAGCTGGTTTTAATGGTGTCACAATTTGTGTTAACAATAGATGCACTTATAACACCCACTAGCTGAGTGACTCAGTTACATGAACATGTATCATAAACAAATATGTGATGCTGATATAGTTGGTTTACTTTCAGCAAATGGTCCAAAGCATGTGGGCGGTAGATTGCAGAGATCCAAATTTGGTCAAACACCATCTGGTTAATTGGTGGATTTTACACACAATTACTGGAAAAAAAAAACAAAAACAAAAAAAACAAATGTTTGCATGCTGAAACTCACAGGAATGTGAAAACATTCTGTGCAAATGTATAGCTTGGATTAAACGTACATCTCTACTCCCAGAGACCCAGTGCTGAGCTTACAATTTACAATCCCAGAAAAGTCACTAGTTTACTGTGAGAAAGTTCAAACCAGTTCTCTTTTTGTCTATCAAGGGTTGACATTTTCAGATGCAGTTTAGAAAAATAAACAAAAATTTGTGAGATCTTAAAAAGCAAGTATCTAAGCAGGCTAGTGCCGAAGCAGTACATCACTTGCTACTAAATCCTCTGAACATTTTCCTCAAAAAGAGAAATATAATTACTTAAAACTTAAAACTAAGGTATTTTGTATTTATAACTGTTTTCATGAAGGGAATACATCATATAGGTTATGATTGCTGGCCCAGAGAGTTCCAGCTTACTTTTGAATGTAATATCCTTTGTTTTTAAAGCATATTCTATTCATTTATTTATTTTTTACTTTTAAGGGTGGAGTTTCCAGATGGGCTCAGCCTATCAGTTCCACAGCTGGCGGGTGTTTGTGTTGGTGTGTGCATTCCCTTCAGTTGCAGCCATCGCTGCCCTCAACGCCATGCCTGAGAGCCCACGCTTCTACCTAGAGGTGCGCATTTCAGCTCGTTGATAGTTTTTTAACGTGTTTAACCTTTGTTTGAGTCATCACCAATGTGATCTAAGCAGATCATATTGGTTTTTGAGTCTGTTTTTCTTAGTGTGGAATGGAGAATCTTCTTTTTTCTTTCTTAAATAGAATGGCAAGCATGATGAAGGCTGGATGATTCTGAAGCAAGTCCACGATACAAACATGAGAGCTAAAGGTTACCCAGAGAGGGTGTTCACCGTAAGTACCTACAGAATATATGCTTTCAACCTCTGCAACTTAAAGTTTATTGGTAAAAGTTTCAAGATCAAACATTTAATTCAAAGTTAAACAAATAAAAGTTTTCAAATAAAACTTATGAAAGGTGAAAAAGATATTTTAACCAACATATCCGTTTTAGTTATTTAGCTGGCTTAATTTTCCTAGCCACACAAACTCTTGGTACTTTTTTTGACTGTCAAAAATCTGTTGAAGTGAAATTTACAGATGAGTCTCAAAAGGTAAAGCTATTTTCAAGGCTTAGAAACTCCAGTGCACCACAGTGAGAGTGACTATCTAAAAATGGAGCAAACATGGAAAAGTGTTGAACATCCCAGACGTGACCTGCCAAATAAACTTACTTAAAGAGCAAAACATTGACTTCGTCCAAGAGGGCACAATACAAAGCAACATCTAAAGCATCACTTTTTTCAGTTAAGGTGTTCTTTATTCTTGTTATTCGTTTAGAGATGAATGAGATTATGTAAAAACTAGAATCTATGGGAGGGTTCCAAGGTAAAAACAGCTTAACTAAAAGAAAATAAAGGCTTGCTTCACAAAACTGATTAGTGCTCTAACATCTAGCACAGCATTTCAGAGAGAAAATATCACACTGAAAGCTGGACATGGTGGTGGCAGTGGGATAATCTGAGGTGCCTTTTCTTATGTGGGATCTAGGGTACTTCCTGTAACTTTCTACGAGAAAAATCCTAAGAGATAATGTTTAGTCCTGAATTTTCAAACTGAAACAACTCCAGTTATGCAGAAGGAAATCTGAAGCACACCAGCAGGTCACACCACTACTCAGTGTGGGCATAAATTACATTGTGATGGTAAAATGGTAAATGGACTGTACTTATATTGGGCTTATTCACCCATTCACACACACACCTAAACACTGATGTTGGCAAACAGTGTAGCCACTGCTGCCTTGGAGCTCACTGACAGAAGCGAGGCTCCTGTACACTGGTGCCAGTCTCTCTAACCACCATCAGGGCTGGCTATTTATGGTGAAAAATTCTCCAATATGTCTGAATCTAAAATAATGCTATAATTAAAACTAGAGCACTATTCCAGGAAGTGAAGTAAAAAAAAAAAAACTTGATTGCAGTTGATGAGTAGCACATTTATCAGGTTTATTATTTTCATGCAGATCTATGTTTTTTTGCAAAGGGTCTTGCTGAATGGTAAATCATGATTTGAAAAATGCTTTTTGCATTTACTAAACATTTTAGAGCAATCAAAGCATTCAACTTTGATGGTAAAGCAAAACCAGAAGAAACTGCAGATACTTTTAAATTGAATTGCATTTTATCTAATGAAGTTAAAGCAACTGTTATTTTCATAAAACCAGGAAGCATGTTTATATTTATGCCTGATATTGAGGCCTCTGAATGTCTTGTGTTTGATTACTCCAAGGTCACCACAATAAAGACTGTAAAGCAGATTGAGGAGTTGGTGGAAATTGGCACCGACACTCCCATCTGGCAGCGCTACAGAATGAAAATTATGAGTCTTTCACAACAGGTCAGTAATGAGATTTATAAAAAGCTGTGTTTAGAAGCCAGATTAGAAGCCATGTTCAGGAGGCTTTCAACCAGCCGGATGTCAAAGACATACGAGGAACTGACATTAATGTAAACTGTGTTCTTTGTAAGAATTGACTATGGTTAATCCAGTGTTTCTGTGTTACACTCTTCAGCATCATGTGCATAGAGCTTGACACAGTTCTGTCTCGTTTTGATGCCTTCAGCCCACTCTCTGCTAAAATGCACACGCCTACACCCTCCATCTACTCACCTCCTTAATTATAGAGTGAATTTGGCTTTATGTTATTTACTCAATTTGTTTTCAGTGTAAATGTATCAAACCTATGCTACCTAATACTTCATTTCTCTTAAACTAAACTTTTTTTTTTCTCTTCACATGCTGCAGATACGAAAAAACATTCTCGCCTGCTTCAACCAAGAGTACAGAAGAACCACCTTTATGCTAATGGCTGTTTGGTTCAGCATGTCGTTCAGGTAAACAAAAAGCCCCTTTAATTTTCCTGTGTTAAGTCATGTATGTCTTGCTCAATTTAGGTGCTTTATCCATCTGCCTTGTCTTTAATCAAACTTGCAGCTACTACGGGCTAACGGTGTGGTTCCCTGACATGATCAAGTACATCCAGAAGCAGGAATATGACTCACGGACAAAGACCTTCACTAATGAGCGAGTAGAACATGTAACCTTTAACTTCACCTTAGAAAACCAAGTCCATCGCGAAGGACACTATTTCAATGACAAGTAAGGTTTTCTTCTTATTCTAATGCATTTTAGGATATGATAATGGTAGATATTGACCTGTTAGATGAAATTCAAAGATTATTTTTGAAGTAATCACTATTAAAGATTAAATAACCCCTCTAGCAATAGCATTGACTTGTTTTGTTGTTTAAGAAAAGAAACAAAACATAAGAGAGACATTTAAATAGATCAACACAAAAGATAAAAGTCTATAAGGAACTGACTGTTCAAAATACCAATTGAAATGACTGAAATATAACTTTGTCAAAAATCTATGAAGTATTTTCTCACTGAAATTAAAAGAAAAGTGCGCATAATTTTTGAGCTATTTGACTGAATTTGAAGGAGGGAAAGTTTGGAAGAAGAAAAGAGAGTGAATAATTTCAAAGTAGGAAGATTTTTTGGGTTTTAACGCCTGAAAACAGCTTAGGATAAACTGACGAGGGACTCCTTACTATGTTCTGGTTCTGGTTGCTGAATAAGTCCCCTACTATGTCTGCTAACCATCCTAGTTGATTCAGCCTCCATCTAGAGCCCATAGTTTGTTTGTTTTTCAGCTTCTACCGTATCAATCTATAATGGTTTAGTCCAGGGTAATGTCTTCATAGCTCTTCTTAGCTACACAATTCTCAGCCCTCCTTGGTGGGGTTGTAATAATTATCTTTAGCATGTTGACTGAACCAGGAGAGCAGCAGTTTGGGAATCTTTAAGATATTACAATTGGGACAGATTATATTTTTTCAGAGAACAGATGGTCCCGAAACACTAAATAAAAAATGTAATCTGACCATTTTAGTTGAGTGCAGCCTGTTCAATTTCACACAGTGCTCTTCTAAGAGGAAAGGTAAGAGTTTAAAAGGAGTGGAACATCGCGTTAATTTTAGAATTGATCATAATGTGATAATTTCAATGTCTTACCGTGTTTGAAACTACCGGAAAAACATAATCTCTCGTAAATTGCATCTGACAAAGTAATCAGAGACACCATGACAAACTGTCAGTATTGATGCCCTTTTTTAAAGGTCTTTATCAGATTGGTGAAATGTCTGCAAAAACTCAGATCCCCAACATAAATGAACATCTTACAAGTCTTGAACATAGCTACGTTATTTAAAACTTGTGCACAGGTTCCTCAACCTGAAGAACTTGAACATAGCTGTTATTTATCTGCAGGTTCCTCAACCTGAAGATGAAGTCCATGGTGTTTGAAAACTCAGTGTTTGAGGAGTGCTTCTTTGAGGACATCACCTCCACACACACATTCTTCAGGAACTGCACCTTCATTGCCAGTTTGTTTTACAACACAGGTAAATATTACTATTAAAGCATTGCCATAATGAGGTGATTTTGTTAGCAAAATTATAATTCCAAACTGTCGTCTTGTTTATTCTTGCAGGTGATTATTATGGACTGTAATGTTTTGTTTTCCACCCTTCAAAGTCCCCTACAAAAAGATACCCCAGTTGACAGAAACATGTCCATTTGGAGCAACACTTAAACCACTTAAACATATACCTAAATTGTAAACATTTATGCCAAGAAGTAGTGGGGTTCTTGATCTTTCTAATACAAGTTTAAGCAACTGATGGAACAATGGATTCTGCTAGCTGAAAGCTCTGATAGAAAATCTCTTGCCATAAGTTTCTAAACTTTAAAGTTTCATAACTTAAGACTCAAGTACATGCGTTTTATGTTGCAGTGATTAAAAGGATATCAACAAATCCACCTCTGGATGTCTGTACAACAACAAAAAAATTAAGAGTGGTCTAGTCAAAGTCTTGACTTCAGTCTGATGAAATCACTCTGTTAAATCTTTAAGAGGCAATCCATGCTTGATGCACTAAAATTTGACTGAACTAAAACAGTTCAGTTCTGCAAAACAGAATTGACCCAAAATCCCCCTACAGTGATGTAAAACACGCATCGCCAGTTATCGCAGATGCTCATTTGCCATTAACCTCTTACACCCTAAGGGGGTATAAATAAATTTCTGCCTGACAAAAACACACAAGAGTAAATAACTTATAGCCTCAAAGCTATTAGATTTAAGAAGAAACTTTTGGTACGTCTGTAAAGGTAAGATGTCATAGAATGGTTTTCTGGTGTCAGCACCATATAGCTTTGACCCTGCCTGAAATATTAGGGACAAAATATAAAATATTTTGCATTTTTTGAACCTCGCCAAAATTTTCTTTGAAATAAACTTTGCAAAACACTACCAAAATATTATTTATAGCACAAAAAAGTAGTACAGACTTTCAAATCTAAATGTTGTGTAAAAATATACCAAATTTGGACTCAATCAGATGAATCATATTTATTTTAGAATGGTATTAATGAGAAATTTCTTAGGCGGAGAGGCCATTTTGGCACATTTATCCATAAATGTCACCAAACTGTGCCAAATATGTTTTTTACATCAATACTGGGGGTTTGGTAAAATTACGAGGTCACGTAGCAGCTGGACCCGCCGGTGGGTCCGTAGGGTTCAAGGGGTTAAGTCTCCAAGAAAGTCACAAAGCCAGACTGGTGTGACAAAAAAGCCAAAACTATTTCACCACACTAGCTGTGTGGTTTATACATTATTGGTTTCACTAAGATGCAAATTAGATCAGAAAAGAAAAGCTGAGAAAACTTCTATAGGATTTGTAGATTTAGATTATTGCCACACGCTGATGACAGCTGCACTGAGAATGTGATGACACTATTAGTAAGTGTTATTAATGAGGGTAGTATCACAGAAGTGAGAACAATACACAGACATACAGAACTGAGATAGAGGAAAACCAACCCACTAAATACTGCTCTAAATACTATAAAATAAAAAAAGATGGAACAAATCCTTACATTTGTTATGATAACCTTTAATCTTAAACACACAGCGATGCTGGCCATCATGGAAATAAACCAGTGACGGCAGCAGCAGAAACCCTATGATGCCTGTAACCCTTGGTTACTCTTTAGCAGCACAAACAGTAACCTCGGCAACGCAAACAAATCCAGCACAGACACAGATTGATTAGATTAGATGAGAAGAAGTGCTTTGAGATTTAGAGAACATAAATTGAACAGGGAATACGAGACCAAGTTATCTGAGTGCGTAGAGACAAAGTCATTTAAGGGCTTCTGTTGTGGTTTCGATTCCTGCAAGTGGTCTAAATCAACAGGTCAGAGTCGACATTTTCTTCACTGGCATTTCAAGCCCTCCACTCTTTGCTGTCACTGATTTATTCAGGCTTGTACTCTTGGAGAGCATCAACCTCCTCCCTCTAGTGCCTGAAGCCAACACTTTATGTTCATCATTATCCATAAAACATATTGGAAACAAGCAAGAAAGATGGTGTGGCTGTAGTTCTTGCATTATCTTCATGAAAGCGACCATAAATCAAATGCAGCTCGAGCAGGATTGCATACATAACCCCCCTGCTAAAGATTTACTTCATTTTTTATCCCATTTTCAACATGATGTTGCATTTTATCCTAAAGTAGTTTAAGAAGGAGAAAAGGTGAACATGCTGAAGAGTGACGGCAAAAAAATTGATAAACTGGTAACAGCTTCAACAGAGGGGCAGTTTCTAATTATGGCAAGCATAGGTTTGTAGAATCACCTTTATGGTAAACCATTGGGTCATATATTCTTTAAGTTATAGGAAATCAGAAAAAAGGTCTGGAATAAGAATTGTTTTTCTTCAGGTTATTCATTGGCTCAATGGATAACAGAAGAATATAGATGATTCAGATTTATCGAATATAGAAATAGAATATAGATATAGAATATAGATTTGTCTTATGTTTTTGTGCAATACTTTACAGATGTAACCTACAGCTTTTTTTCAGGCTTTATCATGATACAATTCCAAACTTTAATTTTTATTTTGTGATAGAAATACAAATATGTACATGATTCTGAAATGAAAGGAAGGAGTTCATCTTACTGTGATAAAGCTAAATATAATGCTGTGTAGCCATGCTGCATATCACTTGTGTGCAGTGTAACCTCAGCACAAAGCCAGTTGGCTTGTGAACACTTCAGAGGTTTGTTGGTAAACAAACATCAGACAGGTTAAAAGAGATTTAGAATATGGTTGTATAATAAACAATGTCTCAAGCTTTTAGCCTCCCACACAGCACTATGCAAGGCATCATCCTAACAACAAAAGAGTAGAGCCGAACATCAGATCTATCAAGAACTGACTTTTCAACAAAATTGCAAATGTTGGGGAAGAAAAAAACTAATTTGGATGAAAAGGCTCATGATAACTGGATGACCTGCAGAGATCCATACTTCAGCAGATGAAAACCTTACAATCTAGTCTACATGGAACAGTGTGAAAATCACTGATCACAGAAAGAAAATAGACATAAGAAGTTACGCCTACAGTTAGTAGAACAAGACCACAATGTACGTTTCTGTCCTACAGGCAAAACAAGGTGTCGTAGGACTGATGCTATGCAGCATGATATCACCATACTCACAAACAAATATTGCAATGGCTTTTATGCCTTTTATTTGAATCCCAGAGAAGTTTGCAATAGTTTCTGTGGATGATTCTTTGACTTTATTTCAGTATTGTTAAAAAAATAAAAAATTTTCTCTTCTCAGATTTGTTCAAGTACAGGTTTGTCAACTGTAAGCTGATTAACAGCACCTTCCTTCACAACAAGGAGGGCTGCATTCTGGACTTCAGTGATGACTTCAACAACGCCTACATGATTTACTTTGTCAACTTCCTCGGCACATTAGCTGTGCTCCCCGGGAACATCGTCTCTGCTCTTTTGATGGACAAAATTGGCCGTTTGAGAATGCTGGGTAGGTATATTCAATCAGTTTGGTATACTAACACATGCTGTTAATTTTAAAATCACAATTACATTTCCTTTAAATGATCTCCTTCCCCAGCGGGATCTAGCATCATATCCTGTGTCAGCTGCTTCTTCCTGATGTTTGGCAACAGTGAATCGGGAATGATCGCCCTCTTGTGTCTGTTTGGTGGTATCAGCATTGCTTCGTGGAATGCTCTGGATGTGATAACAGTGGAGCTGTATCCCTCTGATAAAAGGTAGGATGTACAAGATCAGCTGTTTTTATCTGTCCATTCTATGGGTTGTCAGTGGTATAACTCTTATAAGCTGTTTTTATACAAACACTACATAACTTTTGACTAGTAATTTAATTCTATATATATGACATTTTTCAGGATCTGTCCTGCTTTTTTGCTGAACAAGTAGTTTATGTTTCTGTATGTAAAAACAATAAAAAAAACACTAGTATCTCCCCTGTTGCTGTCTGAATGTGAGTTTCATGGGTCTTGAGGATAAAGTGTTTTTCTATGCTTTCTCTGCAGACGTTTGACTCAAAGCAACACATGTATTGTGTGAATCTTATAAATAGGAATATAAGGAGGCAGTTAAAGTTACAGTATGCAAGAGGCCAAAGCTCCATGTTTTACCAAGGATTTCCACAAGTCTGATATTGGTGACATCGGATGATTTTTGATGAGAACAACTCGTTGCTTTTCAAACCATATCTGTGCCTATTGGCCAACGCTCTGATCAATGAGCGCAACTGACTGCGAGACAGAAAGCTGGTGGGGGAGTGTAAACAAACAGCCTGTCGGTAAAATGGAAAATACGTCCTTCTTAAAAATTAATGAGTGTAGAGCCTCTCCCTGCTCACATTTCAACAAAAATCCTTCCTAATCCTTCCAAAGCTGATTCCAAAGCTGAGTCAAACGAGAACTGCTTAACAGTTGTTGACATCTTCCTTGTTATGCTTTCTCCAGAGTCGCCCAGCTTTGTCGTCACATCCTCAAAACCCTGCCTACTTTGCATCCAGAAATTCAAAACACATCTCTGCGTTGTGAATGGCCCGCCAGTTTTAGGGCCTGGGGCATTGATCGAGGCTAGTGGGTTGGGCTAGTTTACTAGGCTAGTGTGTGGCACAAAAACTGTGTGTGACACATACAAATGTACCACCGTCATGTTTTGGTATCATTGACGAAGACCTTTTCTCTGTTTGCTACATTTTTACACCTCAAGTTTTTGTGGTTCGTTTTCAGAGGGCTGTAGTATAATTTGACGAGCGTCATTCATGTGTGTTTCTGCTGTGTACTGATGTCTGTAGCCCTGTTACAATGATTACTGTAAGGGGTTACAAATCGATGCTAATGTTGAAGGTTGAATCTTGTAGCGAGCTATAATCAGAGCAAGCAATTTGAGCAGGTCGGTTCAGCTGGGCCCCAGGGTTACTTATTTATTGAGGACCAAAGTTCAAAGCTTAACTACTACCATATAAAATGTGTCTTTTAAGCCTCTATCCCACTGAAAATACCGCGTTAATGCGTGATTGTCAAACATGGGTTGACCTGCTAACTATCAGCATTTGGTTCCCTTCTCATTGGCATAAAAAGCTGGGTCTATCTCCTAGCTGGCAAGCTGCATGGCCTCTGTCCCCCTACGGCTAGTGACACCACCATGCTGGGTTAGCGTTGATGATGTTACCAGTTAGACAGAAATCAAAATAGTAAACAATGGACAGCAACATGGACAGCAACATGCTCTACTATCTGTCTGAATCTGTCTTACCATTGTTGCGCCATGTTTATAGAATGTAAACAGAACTGTTTCGGCTTGTTAGATCAGACGTAGCTGGTGTGGTGCATTGACGTCAGTTCGTTGAGTTCAATGGTATCACATAATTTAGCAGGTCGACCCGGCTCTGGTGTTCCCACAGCATTCCAACCGGAGCCGATATGATTTTAACGCGGGTCGATTGCTGAGCCATTTGACCTGGGTAGACATGCATCAGTGAGTCTGTCCCACTGCAACTAAAAGCCGATTGTTTCTGGGTTTAAACATGTTTTTTGGTCAGCGGGAAAGAGGTATACTAAAGCAAAATGTTTTACCAGTAACAAGGATAATATAGCACCTTTGCCTCACAGCAAGAGGGTTCTGGGTTTGAGTCCTGGGGAACCAGGACCTTTCTGTGCGGAGTTTGCATGTTCTCCCTGTGTCTGCATGGGTTTTCTCTGGTTTCCTCCCACAGTCCAAAAACCTGCATGATTGGACATTCTCAGGAGTGAGTGTGAGTGTGTGTGGCTGTTCATCTCTGCATGTCTCTGTGTGGCCCTGTGAGTGACTAGCGGACTGTCCAGGGTGTACCCCATCTCTTGCCCTCCCCTGTGACCCATTAGGCTATAAGCAGTAACGATAATGGATGGATTATTTAAACCTATTTCTTATATTTGTAACTTCATCATCATTAGAAGTGGCAATTCTAGAGAGAAAAAGCTATTTTAGTGGATGCTTTTTATATTTTGTGCACGGTTTATTTAATATTTCATGGTGGAGACATAAAATGTTCTCCAATTCTTGAATGACCCATATCCCCCCTATTTTGAAACTATAACCACCATTTTGCTCTTCTCCTCAGGACCACAGCTTTTGGCTTCTTGAACGCCCTCTGCAAACTGGCAGCTGTTCTGGGAATCAGCATCTTCCAGTCATTTGTGGGCATCACCAAAGCCGTCCCCATCATATTCGCTGCCGGCGCACTCGCTGCCGGTAGTTTCCTCGCCACAAAGCTGCCTGAGACCAGAGGCCAAGTATTGCAGTAAGACAGACGACCAGCACTGGGCAGCAGAGTTCAGTTGGAGTGAGTGAGGGAGTGACAGGCCTGAACATCTCTGAGAGCTTCAGCGCTGCCCGTCCTTTTCACAGCAACAGTAGAGACTGCCTTTCCCCCTATAGTAAGCCCCGAATCCTTTGAAATGTGGATTGCATCACTCAGTGTCAGATATTGCAGAAAAGCTAATAATTTTTGAAAATCTGTACCATTGCAGCATAGTTACAGCTGCTCTGTCAGGTATGATACAATTGTAGTCCTACAGTAGTGGTTATGTGGTCCAAATGGAAACATTCAATTTATATTAAAATGTATTAATGGTGGAATAGTAGAAGAAATTGAATTCATTTCTGGGGGAAAGATTGTAAAAAGGTAAGATTGCAGTCTTCTTCTTTACTCATGTGTCTTAATCTCCGTAGGCTAACAGAGCTGTTAATTATTTTAGTGACTTGTTCAGTTCATCACTGCCAGACCACCTTACCAGAGAGCTGATGTTACCAACCAAAACTTACAAAACAATCCCTGAAAAGCTGATTTACTCAGACAGGTGAAGATGCATTTCACAGGATTCTTTGTTGCACATGGGAGTAGTTGGATCCAGTTCTTCAGTGTTAAACCAATGTTTACCCTCTCTGTTGTGTGACAGTTTGTGGATGTTTAATGGGTGAGACAGGGGAACGTCTTTGGGATGAATTTGGGTCAAATATCAGCGTGTGAGAGGAAACCATATTGTGCTTTTTTTTTGTCTCTATTAGTTATTTGCTTGCATAACAGGGGGTGAATTGGAAACCTATGAAGTGAAATCTTTTTTTTCAGGTGAAAATGTTTTGGGGTTACCTTCACAAAAGTATATGTAAGAATACGATCATATTGATTTTCTTATTTTTATGTCAGTTTTTGTATTTGGATCCTTTTTTGATATTTAGCAACAGAATGTTTACATATTTAAAAAAAAATTTTCTTTATGTCGAAAAATAAACACAAGTCATGCAGTTGGTCAGGTTTTTCTGCCCTCTAGTGTCCAGATAGAAAACTACATAGATTGTAAACAGACATAGACGTTACCTTAAAGTTGTACTGTTTTGATACTATTCGATCCCTTGAACTATCATGATTTGGATGTTCCCAATCATGATAGGGATTGGAATGTTCCAGTTCAGAATGAAAAGTTTTCACTACAACCGCTATATATGTTTGTTCTGCTGCACAGCCTAAAGGATATTGCAAATGTGTTTGATCTGGTTAGCTTAAACAAAATTAATTCGTTTTTATTTAAGACAACAAGTGGTTAAGGAGACTGCTATATTGTGCTGAAATATCATTTGAAACAACCATTGCTTTACTACATTCTTAAATATATATGATAATTATGATTTCTGTAGCTATGAGTGTGGAATCAGACCTGTAACATATGACTCCACGCATACAGCTACAGTCTTTAAAACATACTTTTTGACCCTACTTCTGACAAATATGCAAAGAAGTTTGCTGAAGTGCTAGGCTAATGTGCTGTGCCTAGTGCTGTAACTCATGGACAATTTGGCTCATAATAACGTCATGGGTGCACGCTTGACTGGAATTACATTTAATTGTGGTTTTGAGTGGAGTGTGCATTAGAAAAATGTAAAAAAGTCTAATTCCTGCTTCATATACGTATCAATTTGCTTTGAACATAATCAGTAGTGTTTCCTCTGCTTTCTTTGCATCTTTCTCCTTCATTAATAGTTGTCTGGGTATATGTAGTTCAGAGAAGGCCATGTGACACAGACCTGCTCTGCACTGGCCAATACCGTCTCCATTTCAGTGTGAGCATCATTGCAATGGTTGAAAAATGCTTGTAATTTTAGGCAAAACAGAAAAGCAACTTGATTAGAAACCTAAACTGTTATTTAGAATTAGTTTGAGTCCACCTTTATCATGATATAACTTAATTCCAGCTAGATTCACAAATGGGACCGAAAATGAAAAAAGTTGTGCATCAGATAACAATTTTAAGGGGTCCATTTTTCTTTAAAAGTTTATTTGGTAGCGACCGACACACATCCACATAGACAAACTGAACAAAATAGCAGTCCAATGTTTGCATCATAGTGCAATAGCAACAGCTATTTTGCAGCACTTTTCCATAGATGGGCTTTTAAAAAGAACCTCTAAAAATTAAAGCAATAGTCATTTAGATAAAATGAAACAACGTGATATTGACAACATCTACAAACAAACAGTAAAACATAAAAACATCAAAAATGGATACAGTTCTGTTTTTGATATAACCAGAATTTTGTTTGGTTTTGAACATACTGAAACTGGTTACAGTCTTTAAATCAACAGGAAGTAAGTTCAAAACTGCAGATCCTCTCACGGACAGGTCACTTTGAGCAAAAGTGGTTCTTCGAAAGGGGATCTTACAATTTGCATTGGAAACCACTCTAGTGGATTGTGCAATATCTGTATGCAATTGCTTAATGGTGTAGGTGCATATCCATTTAGACACTTAAAGATAAATTTTAAGAGGTTATTATTTGTAAAATTAGGAAAGTCCAAAATGCCAAATTGAGCCAAAACGCATCACTGACCAAAATGATTACTTACTATACTGCACCCCAACTTAATACTTTTAACACTTTAAATACATAGTAGATTATTCTCATTATAGTTTCTGTGTATAATTTCTCTAAAGTTTTACTTTACATGTGCTGACAATCACTGAGTGTAAGATTTTGACCTAAAAACATCCCCTTAACTGTGTACATGTGTTTACAAGTAGCGTACTGTTATTTTATAGTCGTGGATGGGTTATTATTAAATATGTTACAGAATAAGTTGATGATTTTTAAAAAAATAAGTTGTTTACAAATAGGAAAATATTTCTATTAGAAATAAATATCAGTAATTAGTTCAACATATTTGTTTATCCTACGCATTTTTTTAAAGTTAGAAAAAAGGATAAATTCATAAATCAGATTTTAAATTGCTCTATTTTTTCTATACTATATATAGTTGTATTAATATATCAAAGTATTTAATTGCATACTTCTCAGAAGAGTTGATAACCTGAAACCAAACCAATCACACATAACATTGGAATAAATTTTAAAATTTAGGGATAAAACAAACAAAAAAAAAAACTAAAACATAGGTCTATAATAAAATTCAACCTTATAGAATTTTGGATGAAAATCCTATAAAAACACTTCTGTTAGTCTAATGCAGCATTTTACATTTGGGAAAAAATATCTTATTGGAAGTGCAAGGAGGCCAGAGTTACAGTTATTTAATCTTTAACATATTAAAATGTTAACAAAACGTAGGAGTTTATTTACAATCTAGCATGTGCAATGTAACATCTAGTTAACACAGAAAGATGTAAAAGCAGCAGTTTTACCTAAATGAGTCAGATAAATAGTCATTAAGTTGTTAGAGATGCAGTTATGGCTTTTTATACAGCTTCTGCACAACCCATTATAAACTGCTGTTCGTCCATAACTTGGTCAAAACATTTTGCAAACAAAATTTTTTATGTTTGATGTTTAATTTTCTTTAGGGAACTAAATTTTCTGATTAGAAGCCAACAGTAAAAACAAAAAAATGTTATCCAATTTATTCAGATGAAAAATATTAAACTAAAATAAAAATCATTCACTAAACAAATACCCAGAGGTGTATGTTTTTTTCTTTCTTTTTTCTTTTCACAAATTGAAGAAAGTCTTAATAATTCTAAACAGGAACTGGCACTAGTTTTTATGTCTGGTTCCTCTGTTCAATGTTTGATTCTTGTTTTCCTGTTAATTTGTTTAATCTTAAGAAGAAAAATCAAGTCTCCTTTTGGCCTATTTTTATTTTACCACATAAAAAAGAAAAGACAATTTCCTTCCATTTCATGCTTAAATTTAAACTTTTTTAAAAATCTTCATTAGCCTACTGGTTATTGATGACAAAAATTAAGCAAGTAAACATTTCTGAACCTTTAACGTCACCAGATTTACTTTCTGTTTGTGGATGAATCTCTTTAAATCAATGTCTCCCATCATGTTGCAAAATGTCCAAATGTGTGTTTGTGTGAAACAAATGTTCCTTTTCTAAAGACTTTTCTTTCATCCCTTGGATGAAAAAAAAAAAACCCAGAATGAAAAAATATGCAGTGTAGATTTTATTTTTATTTTTTTCTTCAGACTTGAATGCTGTTTATTTCATGAGACTTGAGTCTTTGAAAGGATGAAATTGAAGCCTTACTCAAAGACATGATCTGACTACTTCTCTGTTTAAACATGTGAGAAAAGCCTACCTGAAATCGACTTTTTTAACCCATCAAACCTCCGTATTCAGCCAAGCTTGACGCATGTTTGTAGTCGTATTGTCTAATCTCTTGGACGTCCTGTATGCCAGCTGTTTTTGTCTAAAGCAAGAGAACCAGTGATTTTTATTGTTGTATGATGACATAGATCTGTTGCTTGCAGTGATTGTTGTTTATCAAAGTGGGGTTAAAGTTAGTTATTGGTGACTGTGTTCCATTTAGCTTGGGCCCAGGTTACCTCAACACACCGATATAGTTTATAAATACATATCTGGGAGGAGGTTTAGAGCACATCCAGAGTATCTAGAGGTGTATAAATAGAGAAGGCCGGGAAGAGGCAATCTTAAAGGGAGCCAAAAATGTGCATTAATTATGTAGAAAATAAATATAAGTCTGCTTGTTTGAGTTTATAGAAAAAAAGGACAGGTAAGCAATATTTTGAGTTTTCCTCAATTTTAAGGAAGGAAAATTTTCGTTTTAAACACATAGGGTTATTAGTAAAGCTCTCTGCTTACTGTCCAAAATGAAAACTTCTAATAATTTTTGGTTGTATGCATAAAATCTATGTATTTACAAATACAAAACTTTTCACCGGTTTAATTTTGGCTGTTTACAGGACCATAACACTTCCTTTGACTATGGTGATGTGTTAAAGGTGTTTTCATGGCATGATTTCTGTCTGATCGACTCCTAAGCACATACAGATGAGTTCTAAATAAATCGTTTACCCCCTACACCCCAGATAAGGATGAACCCATTCCTGTGATAATGCTTGTCTGCAGATAGTGAGAATCCTTCACTATATGTGGGACAAAAGGAGTTTCCATTTGTGTCTTTTTCATTTAGACTTTGATCGATTTATTTACTGATAAAGGCTCTTCTCTAAATGTAAGTTAATTTCTGAATTAAGTGTATCGTGTGTGGAAACTGTAAATGTTTCTATGTGAAAGTATGGAATTTGTGGGGAAAAAAAATATCAAGGAAACAATTCCAAAAAAGTTAAATATGAAAAAACAAACTATTGTGTTGTCTTTGTGTTTTGTAAATGATGAATGAAAATCTTGGTAAATATATTATGGATATTGAGATTATTTAAGTGATGATGAAAAGGTGCTGTATGTATTTTCTGTGAGAAGTGTTCATTGTGCTGGGTTTTGCCTTTTCATGGCAGTTATCCAGCTCTTTGAAGAACATTATGAATTATAATGGAAATAAATCTTTAAAAATATGTCTTGCATTTGCATTTACAAGCATTATTTTAAAGTTTGCCTTTAGACATCATCTGTTTGACACCATTTTTCTGGAACTTTATCAGTTTTATTTATATCTTCATTGTAATACCATGACACCAGCTGCATGCACAACTATTGCATTTAATTTGATCCTCCAAAGAAAGAAAGAAAAAGCCCAACTGGTCTCGCATGCCACATAGAAAAATCAGTGATCAACCAAATATCACAAACTCAAGCAGATGTTCTGAAGACCCATTACCCATTTTCTGATTCAGACGATACATTTAACCATTTGCAGTTACTTTGTTCAGAATTAAATATTCTCCGACAGCCATTTGATCCAAAAAGTGCTAAATACTTAAGTCAAAAAAAAAAAAAAAAGTGCCTTTTTCGTATGCAGGACTCAAACTTCAACATGTCCTTGTGATGTACTGGTTGGCCTATCCAGGGTTAATGCCTCTTATCCAGAGTGATAGGCGACAGGCTTCAGAGACCCTGTATGTGTGATTCAGGTATTGAAAATTGATTCCAACACTATTGTGGTAGTGAATAAAAAGTGATAAAAGTACAAGTTCCATAAAAATCAGATCCATTCAGACCAACATGACATTTTTAATAGCACGAATGTAGCTCTGCTACTCCCCAAACTTTGAGTTGAAATTTTTAATATGCACCCATCCTATAGAAATATATAATATATATATTCCCCCCCCCCTTTTTAAAAAGCCTCCAATTCCACAAAGCCTCAAAGGATTTTAGAAGTTGCTCTTCTGACCAAAATAGAACACATTCTAGTTAAAACAGTGCTTTGCAGGTCAGCATAGGGTCTGTTAGAAACTACAGTATTTCAAGCTCCTGCAAAGAACTTTTCAATTAAAAAGTTGTGTAAAAATGTCCAAGTTACAATAAGCTTTGTCTACCTTTGGACAACAGTAGATTTCATGAGCCAACTACCCAAAAAGGTGTTTTTTTCCCCAGTTAGTTTCAATTGATAATCATATTTTGGTTTAATGTCATGTTTCTAAGAATTATTGGTAGTATGAGGCAGCTGTCCCATTAAAGCGTAAAGTCTGATTCTTCAGTCACTCCATTTAACCTCCCATGGTTAATACTTGGGGGAGCTTCCCTCCAGCTACAACAATTTTTAAAATTCAAATATCTTCATATATTATTTGTGGGACAAATTTAACTTTATTGATGGAGATTATTGGTCACATAATGGGAAAACAAGCATAGAGAGCAACGCCGCACTGGTTGTTTCGATTCCGAGCCATTTTGATGTATCCTTCATCTCCGAAGTGCTCACCCCAACTGTAAATAAGACAAGTTAGAAACAAGCCAAGTATTGTTGGATGAGAATCGAAACAAACTTCCTACTTACCTGTTTTTGATCAGCCAGTAGTCCTCTCCATTTTCAGTACCATATCCCACTGCTAGCATTCCATGGTTTACGTTGTGAGAGCATGAATGGTCTTTATATATTCCTGTTGGGCCAACAGAGATTGTTGCTTTGCAGCCTCTTTTAATTACCTTTCTTTATGGGAATAGCTGTGATCAGACTTACCATGACGGTAAAAATGAAATTTTGGGCTGGAAGCGTCAATTGCAACAGAAATTGGGCCAATGTGTGCAAGGCCCACTTTCAAGGCAAACTCATCCCCTTTTGGCAAGAAGCCATACGCTGAGCAGTTTGCGGCCCGGTATGTTGGATTATACTTGCACTGACCTGGCTGAAAAGGTTAGGAAGAGACTTTAAGGATATTTTCTGGCGCGTCTGATCACAGGGCCATTAGATGAGGTCACTTACTTTACCAATGTAGGGATAAGCTGCATCAGAGTCAATACCCTGGTTGTTAATAACATACTGGAAGGCATTTGACATGAATCCACCTCTGCAACCATAGTTGCCATATTTTGAAGAACAGTCCACAAGATTTTGAGTACTGAGGGACATTAAGATGCCTTTATTTTTCTTAAGCTGGCCCTCCAGGGCTCCAGCTGCACTAAATGCCCAGCAAGAACCACAAGAACCCTAAAAGATATCAGTGGTTACAGGAGGCAATGGTGGGAACACCCACAGACCTTTTTTGTTGTTTTAAATCAAGGATTTATTAAATCAAGGCTGAGCTTACCTGTGCTTTTACTGGTGTTACTAGCCCTTCTTCTCTCCAATCCAAAGATTCTGGTAGAGATCTGTTAATTTTGAGGAATTCATAGGGGACCCTCTCAAGCTCCGATGGTACAATGGTCCCTGCAAGAGATGACGTGACCTCCTCAAGGGTCTGAAAACAGATGGAGCATCACATGCCACTGAGGTCATTAGGATTTCAAAGACCAATCTTACCATATAATGTACTACATGAAAATACTCACCAAATCCCCCATGTGGTTCATGGCCAGCTCATAGGTATGCAAGCCCAGAGAGGTCTCCAAGTTATGGACATTTATCATTTCCAGGTTCTGCTCCCATAACCGTCTGCGACCAAGCTCTTCAACCTCAAATAAAGCATGGTAAACTTCAACAATTACAGAGTTTAGGAACTATTTGCTTAGGTTGCAGACCTCCGTTTACCTGATGAGCATACAGTTTGTTATGCGTCGTCTTCCACATCTCCCAGTGCGGATCCAAATTTGATCTTATAGCAGCCACTTCAATGCCACATAGCACTGTGAAAAGCAGGCTCTGAAACATGGTGAGAGCTAACAAAAAGGTAAATAAAAAGGAGGCTTGCTAACTTATTCTGCTTCAGCAAGAGGACACGGTTGCAATTGTTTCAGAGATGTCAATGTGAACATAAAAGAAAATAATTTATATTAACTTGACAAAAATATGGGAAACTTTCATGCACGTGTAAAGTAAAAGACTAATTACTTTAGAAGTCAAAATTCTCCTCAGTGACAGATTCAACCATCACCCACCTGTATAGCTGTTCAGTGCAGAAATCACACTCAGCATTTTTTTCCAGCTTTATCAGCATATATTTATGCCATGCCTGCTACACACCTGCAACTAATGAGACATTCGACTTTTTATTTTGTCCACTTGGGGGCAGCAATAACAAGCCATAAACAGCCCTGATTAAATATGGGAGACAGAGCAAGATGAGATGGAGGTATGCTTTTCTTTTTTCTATAAGCCCATGATGCTGTGCAAGACATGAAAGGTGGGAATTAAAAATGTTTTTTTTTTCTCTTTATTACAAAATTTGTTTTTTTTTCAGAGATTAATATTGCACTTTAATATATGTGTGAATGGTAAACAAAGATCCATTCGTGTCATATGTTTTCATCCCTATTATAATTTACCATTTAAACAATTAAAGTAATAATAATACATAGAGTTAAGCAATGATGAATTTATATTTTAAGAGGTTGTTTATAATCTATGATCTTCATTAATGAAATAAAAAATAAACACAACAAAAAACAATAACCCCCCCCCCCCCCCCCCCCCCCCCCCAAAAAAAAAACCCAACAACAACTAATAAATACATTAAAAAAACATAAACGGACAAATCCAAGCCCCATTAGAAATAAGAAGAGAATCAATTCTGGACATAATTCTGTACAGATGAAGACCAGCTTGGGGCTGAAAATATCCAATTATGCATAAGTAGAGATGCAGATTTGTTGACCAGAAGCGCTAAAGAGTCCAAATCACATTACCAGAGGTTTACGAGGTTGACTCCTCCAATAATGATGTACTTTGAGATCTTTTTCCTCGTTGAACAGCCATTATTCTATTCAGTGATCACATCAATGCTCTGATGACACAATCAACATGTTATGTCATCACTTATCCTTCCATGTCATTTTCTTAGCCTTCCAGCTCTTGATGCTTAACTTGTTTTTAAAAGCATAACCTTTTTTTGGCATCATGTCCTCTCAGAAATGTTCAGTTTAAGGTCAGTTGTGTTCATCAAAACAGTTTTGGAGAACATGAGTACGTTTGCATTTTGTCTGACACCCTGTTAGATAGCTGAAACTCATGTCTTTGAGAAATCCAGAAAATATAGGCTGATAAAACAGTTAGGGATGTCATATTCTTTTCCTAATTATGAAAATAATTAATTAAAAGGCTCATACAACTGTTTTCTTTTGATAAACCACGGAGATTATTTCAATGATCTTTGTTTCTTTTAAAAAGAAGGTTTATCATATAAAAACTAATTGCAAAGGAAGCAGATTGAATGATCAGAGAGTGTAATCGTGGAGGAGGAGATGAGTATCCCATTAGCCACCACCCAACATGGATTGTATTTTTTCCATTTACAAGGTTAAAGAATGGGAGATAACCAGGGGTAACTACACACAACTTTGAAAATGTATTATTAGTACGATGCATATTTCTGTAGACAAAATGTAAAAGCAACACAGTCAGACACATTCTCGATGCTTCATAATTTAATAACTTAAATCCTTTCATTAGTCTTTATTTAAACTGCAGAGCTGATAATATGAGTATATATAATGTCCAATGTCATTTTATGTGACTTACTTTTTGCTTCCAGTTTATTAAAGGATTTAAGGTCATACCTTCTGCAATAGTCCCCAAGTACTTTAATTCCCCTTTCAGCACAGTCGTAGCAGGAGAAAGAGGATTTACTCACACGTAAGCAGGGATTATATCATATATTTGTTTAGGATAGGGTCAAAATTATCATTCTGGTGGTCATCTTTGAAACTCTCTAAAGGCATGGCGATGCACTGAATATGAAAGCAGAGAGAAGAAAAGCAGACTGAGGCTTTTTTCCCACCATTTTAAAGTGATAAGCACATGATGGGCAATTTACATAGGTGTACATACAGAAGCTGTTTTAGTAAACCTGAAAAATTGAGAAAGACTTTTGTGTAAAAAAGAAAACAGAGTGTGTATCAACAGCAGCTTTCTATCAATGTAACTCGGCCATCGTATCAAATGCATCTGTTCATAAAATATTCAATTTTAGTTCTGGATGTATTTTTAGGGCCTTGCTCCTGCTAGGATAGATCAGTTTAACATAATGTGTAACCTTTTAACAGGTTATCTTGCAGAATTGCACAGTACACTGGCAAAACAATCTAGAAATAAGTAAAAATGTCTTATTTTAAGTATATTGGAATGAGTATTTTTACTCTTAAAATAAGATAATTAGATAGCATGCACTTGAAATAAAACAACGCAATTGTGTTTCTTTATTTTAGATGTAAATGGTCTTGTTTCGTTGGTTAAATGCATCTTTTACAACCCCAATCCAATAACAAATGCACCTATTTTAAGTAAAAATTACTTACGGTATCTAGATTTTGATTTTTTTTCCAGTGTTATTGCATCCATTCATCCTCCCATCAACTATGAATAGCTTTAAGCTACTTTTACAGCTTTTACAAGGGGGTAGAAGTTATAGTTCTGGTCTTTACACCAATATTTGAGTCTAAAGGGTTAAGTTCTTTTTCCTTCTTTAATGTGAATTGAAATGTAATTTTAAACATTTTCTCTTTGCATTTTTTTATTTGGAATTGTTTGCATGCTGCTGACATTCTTGCCAAGGTGTCTTTTGTAAAAGATAACTTTTTAATCTAAAAGAGATTACATATATTACAATCAAGGTTACATACATTTGCCTTCTTACTGTTTATATTATGTGCAAAATATAAGGAATATTGAAGAATGTTTTGCCAAATAATTAAACAACTCCCAAATGACCAACTGCAACACGGAAACTTTATGAGCTACTTTACCCTTCCCTTGTACCAGAAGAGGTTTCAACTAAAGTTTATTATATTAATAAAAAGAGTCAGGGAAGTCAGGCCTCCTTGTCAGCATATCTTAGGAGGCCAGCAGAGAAATTTTATAAAAAACTTTATCATCAAAAGCTCAGATATTTGTTCTCATTCCTACAGAGATCTACAGTATTGGTCAAACAGTCATGTTTTTGGTAGTGTTGCACGATGCCATTTTTTTGGCCCTGATACCGATACCTGGCTGTGCAGTATCGGCCGATACCGATACCATATGTTTGAAATTGAGTTGTGTGTGTATATAAGAAGAACTGCATACTACTTGGATGTAAAATAATTGCCATCAGGCCAACCTTTTGTGAAGTAAAGCAAGCAAAAGACTAATACAAAGTGAATCCAGTGGAACTTTTTATTGCCTACCTGGAATGGGTGACAATAGTTGAATAAACTTTTGGCTCTCAAAATGGTATCTGTGCCCTATTTTTTGGTACGATAACGATATACCACCATTTTAGTGCAGGATCGGGGCCCCGCCCGATACTGGTATCAGTGCAACTGATACCAGTACCACTAGTTGTTGGGTAGTGGAAGTAAGCTAAGTTACCCAGAGAAAACCTGCTCCTGCACAGAGGGAACATGCAGACTCCATGCAGAAATACTCCAGGCTGGAATTCCTTCCCAATTGTGCGACTGTTCAGCCCCCTGTGAAGCTAACAAAATCCTTCAGAATACTTTATTATTTCGGCAGGTTAGAGCTTCTTAAACCAACAGTGTATCTTTAGTACACCCAGTTAATTCTGTAGTGCTCTGAAATAACAGTGTGCAATTATAAAAACAAACAAAGAAGTAAGATGAAACCTAAATAAATCTAAGTTGATGTCACAGCGTGGGGTAGACTGCTAACGTTGCAATGCCACAGAGGTTTTTCTTGTTCCTTGCAATACGGATAAAGCCTCCTTCTCCCCATTCTGTTCCCCAGCTGAAACCACACAACATTACACTTTATAGTTTTATGACGGAAAACAAAATGTTACAAAAATGTAAATACTAAGAAAAACATCTGTACCTGTTTTTCACCAGCCAGTAGTCCTGTCCTCCGTCTGTGCCGTAACCCACGACCAGGACGGCATGATTGATCAACTTTGGGTTACAGTCAGGCACATTGTATAAACCTGCAAGAATAATGTGCAAAGCAACAGTAAATGAAACAGTTCTATACTGGTTATGTGTTTATAATAGCATAAATATTGAATATTCTTTTATTCAGATAGTACCTAATCCCAAGGTATTATGTATACATGCATGTAAATGGAGGAATAGAATAAGAAAGAAGTTTTCCTTTGACAAATTGACACGTAAAACTTAGAGGAGCGCATAGTACCTAAGAAAAAAACTTTAAAAATGAGGTGAAACTATTTAAACCACAGTATTCTGTCATTTAGCACCTTTCAGTAGCATAATTTCTCATTCATAGTGTAATTGAACCTTTCATCTGGTAAATTAGAATAAAATCAAAATGACTTTTCTTTACTCTTTACAAATTTACTAACACCACATTTGCTGATATTCCCATCAATTTTTAAAGAATAAATGGAACTGAGACATTTCAAATGTATACTTTGCTTTTCTGGGTTCGATCAGATTGTCTTTTACAATGTTTGCATGGGGTGTGAATACTGTCAGTACTGCATTTTACACCATATTTATTTATTTATTTGCACTGCACTGAGCCTTTCCATATCAATGCCTTTTGCACCACGTCTTTAAACTGGCTTTCCTTTTCTCCTACACTGTTTACATTCTGATCCCTGCTGCACTTTATAAATGGAAAAGTTCATTTTACTATTGTAAGCTGCTCATTCACTGTTGAAAAGTTGTATGCATCAAAATTTCGTTTTGTATAAACTATATGTATACAAGATGACAATAAAATTTGTTTAAGTGTAAAAATATATGTAACAGAATCCCAATACTTTTTGTCATTCTAAAAAAAGAAAAGCGGAAAACGGCAGAAAATGTAGGTAACACAAATGACAGATTTTCATCTTCAGATTTAAGGAAAAGGCATCAGCGAAATAGGTACTTATCCAAACTTTTGTCATCTTGGGGTTACAAAATCTCCCACAACCATTATAAACACCTAAATCTACTAATGGGTCATTTTAAAGTGATACTAAGGAAGAGCCCACTGTCCAACCACTGCAAACATAAACATGATAATGATAACGCTTCATGGGGCTTCATTGCAAGCTGTTTGCTTTTGATCTTTGCCATCTAAGATGTAGTATTTCAGAAACAAACTTCGAAGGTGGCTCGTGACTAAAACAAATGATAAATCAATGGAAAAGCCTCTCACATGCACACTCAATAAGGGAGGAGGACCTGGGACCCCAGAGATATTTTGCACAAAGGAAAAGAAATCCAAGCTCCAACCTTGTAAAAGTTGTTGGGGAAGACTAAGGTCCTCTAACTATATAGTCTTTAAGACTGTATAATCTTGCACCCTCAAATTATGAAGCTTGAAAAGTTCAGTTTGCCTAAACTGAACCTGGATGACTGAGAATCTTCACAGATATCTCAAGCTATGGAGTTTCATACAATATATGCAGTGTTATCAATCAGTTTATTCAATTTGAAAAATTGATGGAAAGAACGTTTGGTGTTATTTAGGAGTTTCTTTTAAACATAAGACATTTTGCAAAAACACATTTTGGCAAAGTTCCTTATTTTGAGGATTCAGCAGCCTCACCTCCTCTGTAAGAATGGAAGGAGGGCAGCATGGCGTTCACAGCCACAGCAACTGGTCCAACTGATGCAACTGCAGCCTGCAGAGCCAACTCATCTCCCCGTGGAAGGATGTGAAAGTTTGAGCAGTAGGCAGCCCTGCCTTGCAGCGTGTAGCGGCATTTTCCATTCTGAAGACAAAATGAGAAATTGGGAAATACAGAAAATATAAATATTTGAACAAATATCTGTGGTATGATTGGATCCCTTTTAGTCTTCATCTTTCATTTTAGTTGATTTCATGCCTTTGCCATAACGAGCTACATAAGATGTTACACTACGTTATTTATTAGTGAAAAAAGAAAAATAATATGTTCAATTTTCTCTATGGTCTGGGTCACCTGGTGTTCGTAGGGGTACGAGCGCTCGGAATCGACACCTTTGTTGTGGATGATGTAGCTAAAGGCCTTGGTGATGTATCCTCCTCTGCAGCCGAGGTTTCCCTCCTGAGTGCCGCAGTCCACGAGGTTCTGTGGACTCAGCATAACAAGGTCGCCTGTTCGCTTCTTCATCTGCCCCTCAAGAGCCCCTAAAGAGCTGAAGGCCCAGCATGAACCACATAACCCCTTAAAAGAAGAGCACCAGAAAATATTTAGAGCAGCTGTTGCATTTCAGATGTTGCTGATGTATAGATTATTTTGTACCTGATTTCTGACAGGACCAACCAGGCCGTGTTTCCTCCAATCAACACTTTTTGGAAGCGATGAGTAATTCACTTTCTTAAAGGTGTTGTTCTCGATTCCAAGAGCTTCTTCCACCTTCAAACCATTTAGCCTGTTATTTATCTCCTCTGCTGTCTTAAAGTAGAAAGACAAAAAAACAACAAAACAGAATGCAAATGAATAGTTTTAGAAACAACATCTGCATTTTAGTGTTCAGACTCTGAGAAAACAGTCAGGCTTTCTTCAATTCTACCTCAAAACTAGTAAGCCTAAATAAAATGACATATCATGTAGGCTATTTAATTTCAGTTTTGGGGAAGCTAAAAACAATGAATTAAGAAAACCAAATAGGTTGCATTTTTCCGACACTATTCAGATGGAACATCTTCCACTTAAGCATCTCTAAATATCCGATAATCAGCTTTGCAGACATATTTGTTTTCTATTTGATGCTTGAATATCTGTGAATAGAGAATACATCCTTAAAAACTTTTAACAGGACGATGTTGCTTTTTTATGCAAAAAATAAATAAATAAATAAATAAAAATCAATAATAATTATAGGAAACAAAGCACATTCCTGTTAAGTAACAAGACATTTTGGTTGGGATTAAGTTTAAAGCTTTGGAGTGAATAACGGTCAGCATAAAGTAGTTAATTTAAGGGTAAGAGTTAAAAGGGAGTAAAACAAAACCAATGCAAAGTTGTAACATGAGTAGAAAGTTTCACTTTTTGAATCTTTGGGCCTGATCCTCAATAGCTCTGCCCGTCTTAAAGCAAGTCAAACGTGTTTGTATGCACAGAGCAGATCTGCATGGAAGGCGCCGCGCAAAGTCATTTACAACTGCACCGTTTTATGGGTGGAGGATATGCAAATGTAAATATATTTACCACATGAAAAGTCAAACTAAACTGCTGTCTTGGTTTTTGCCGACTTTTAATAGTCTGGTGCAAACTGAGATGCAATAATTTCTGCAGTCATTTTGGTCACAAGGGAGGCATTGATTCAGACAATGGACACAGTGAGTCTGTGTGCATGTTAACATATTAGGACTGTAAAGAATAAAACTAGTAGAATTAATAACTATTAGTGGAGGAAAAATGTCTAAGCAAGTCAGTACGAATTAATGCAGCAGAATGACGCAAAATCTTTACACAACTAAACCATAAGGAACAAAAATTATTGAATATATAGCTGGTTCTGCACACTTTAGAGGGAACTTTCGCATGTGTTTTGGCTCCCAAGAGGGCCCTTTAGCAGGCATTATGGCCCATAGAAGGACACTAGTTTTGTAGGTACAAATAATTTCTTTGCACGTCCAATTTAGCGTAGCTTATTTGGAATTTTTAAAAAATCTGACCCTTTGTGAAGATTCAGTTAAGAACATCATGGTCTCTCTCTTACTTTAAACTTGACCACTGCCTTTGTCGTTTTTCTAAACTCAAGAACTTATAACTGGATGCTTATTCATATACTAGAAAACCAACTGCGTAATCTTTAGCAGAGAGGACCTGTTTAACAGTTTTCTCCAAGACCTAAATACGATTAATTCTATGATAATACTGCAACATATGCTATCTTAAATACACATGATTAAAGATTTGTAGTAAAGTAAAATTATGGTTTTATTGAGAAGAAAATCAATATGTTTTACCCCCTTATGACAAACATATTTTTATTCTATCCACTTTCTATAAAATGAACAAACTTTTACATCCCTGGCAGCTATTCAGTATAAAATCGTGATTTTTGACTGTGTAATAACCTCAGAACGGGCAGAAGAAGTTGCCGATTGTGTGCTGACCAGATGATAAAATGAAAGTTAACAGTGATTAAGAATATAAACTTGGTCTAAATCATCTTTACTCAATCATCTGGGTGCATATTCAAATATCACACTGCAGCCGTGTTGTTCTCTTTGGTGCATATTCCTGAACTGTGATGGTGCTTTCCAATGCAACTGTAGCGCACTGTCCTCTGACAGCAATCCAAAAGCTTATCTGAGTGTCCCAAACATGCCAGACTCCTGCAGAGCAATGACATGCTACACCCATCTAGGCTTTTCTGCTCTGGTTTTCTCAGCCAAAAAAAAAAACACCTTGTGATATGCTTCAGAAAAAGGCCTCTCATATTCAGTTTATCCTTCTTCTTTATTTCATATCTCTTTATTCTTTTAGTTTTTTACACAATTTCCTCATCATTTCAGATTCCTGCCAAAAATCTTGCTCTTTAGACCATGTTTGAATTAAAAGGCACCCACATGCCCTGTTATGTCATCAGTCTTTATGTGGCATTGGGGCAAAATGTGTTGATTTCAGACTTAGAAAAAGCAGAAAGTTGAAATAATTACTTCAAGAGATTAATGATATTTTAAGATCAATTACAAAACGATGAAATATACAACTTGGCCCAACGTATTTAAAAAATGTTACTGCTACACAAAAACAGAACTATGTGCAGATTTACACAGCAGCTGCTTTATTACTACGTATTTGATGGGTCTTTTAAATTATTTATAACTCACATACATAATTATCCAGTTATTTGCTTTTTTAGTCACACTACAGCTTATAAGTTCTTTGATATAATAGTGTCAAATTCCAGTCTGGTTTCAATTAAAAGAACAAAGGGAGGTGTGTCTGAGCTAAAATTGTTCTCTTCACGTTACCTACTGTTTGCCCAAACAGGACTTCTTGCGGCTTTATTCTTGTCATTTTTAAATAGGGACCAGATTTATTTATTTTTTTACTTGTGTGACATCAAAATGTCGTTTATTTTCCAATGTTGAAGACAGGAAATAAGGTAAAGTTTGAGGGAAGACATGCGGGGTATGTCTGAAAGTTGACATTCAACGACATTTAACATGTTTAGATTAGGTTATCATTAAATTCAACAAATAATTTTCTTATCTTATTGTGTCAACTGGTCAAACTGCTTTTCACCACTGACCTCCTACAGCTTTGCTCTTCTTGCCATAGAGTTCGATCAGCAGGGCCAAAGCTGCAGAACATTTTCTCCCCATTCATAGTTTAGCACCATAGATGTACTGAAAAAGCTGATAAAGGATGGATTTTGCTTTTTTTCTGAAAGTTCTTAATTTGTTTTGAGGTCACAACCTTAGATCTCTTTCCTCCTGCATCTGTAATGCCTCAGAAAAGGGGTACAAAAACCATGCAGTTTTAGAAGAAAGCTTGAGGAGGGGTAAAAAAAGAGGTTTGCTTTCAGTTGAAATCTAGTTAGTAAGCATGTGCAGTAACTGGGGATTTGGAGCCACAATTGTTTGATTGTGAAAGTAGGTTATGTTCTTTGTGTGTAACTACATTGCAGAATCTCAGGTTATAAAAGTAATTGGCTGTAGTGGTAGCAAAAGGAGGGACTTGCCCCGAGCGCATTTCACCCAAGAACAACAACTAAATCTCATCATCCTACCATGTCAGCTAGGTGGTTCAGTCCCAGAACAAAGCTTTGTTTTCCTGCTGAAGCCTCCTGGTTGTGTCTCAGCAACATGAGCAGATTTTTCTCCCACACTGTTCTCCTGAAGATCAGCTCAGTCTGAAAAAATCATATTATATACATTATTATCAAATATGTTTGCAAATTTGTGTGACTGCATGTTAACTTTTTTTTTTTTAAACTCATACCTGATTGTCATAAATTTTGCCATATTGATTTTTCCAGTCTTCCCACAATGTCTTGGTGGCTGATAAGGAACAGCTGAGGATCACAGCTGCCATAAGCAACACAGCACACAACCAAAAGTGCATCCTGGAAAGATAAAGAAAACCTTTTAAACTATCATCTCTCGTCTGAGACTTACAGTCAGAAAATAGCAAAACGAATAAAAACAGAAATTGATCTCAGCACCTAAGAATTACAGTTTGGATTTTAAAATTAAAATGTTTCAGAGAAAATAATCTTAATATTGCTCAGTTTATCTATCTATTTATTTTATCAAGGCTGTGATCATTATTATTTTCACATAATTTGGATTCTGCAATAATCATAATTTAACTAATATAAATTTTGGGAAGGGCCAGGTGATGATTTAATGACCTTTGAAGCTTCTGTTAAAATACATAAAATCACTATTCATGCGAATACAACATGTGAAAACCTCAAACACACTGCTTCCTATTTTGATATAAAAAAAAAAAAAAACAAGAAAAAGAAAAGCAGGCAGTATGTCAGAAAGAGAGAGTCCACTTATGTTCAAGAGGGGAAACAGGTTGAGTATGAGCATGTAAATGTGTGCGCATTACCAAACCAGCACAAAAACAGAAAATCTTTTTAAGATGTTTGCCCAGTCTGGTAAGAGAGAACCGCACTGTCATGAGCAGAAGGGTCAAACTAGAAGGAAGAAGTCATTATCTTAAAACCGGCATTCAAAGCCTGATTACTTAACGCAAAATCACAAAGAGCTTAGTGTTTGCAGACATGTCCTGTGGTCTCATGTAACTAAGTTTGAAGGTTTTTGTCACACTGACTATTGTTTAATTTTGGAGGAAAAAGTTGGAAACTTGCTAACTTAATAAGGCCAAGGGTAATAATATGATATCTGTAGTGGTCTAGGTGGATACTTATGGGCTGGGTTGCTGCAGGAAGAACTGCCTCACGCCATAAAAACGTCTCGTAGAAACACTGGACCTACATCTTTAGATATCAGCCAAAAACATTTTGTTGGTCCAATAAATAAACACATTTCTTACAAATTAGAGAAGAAGTGCTGGAAGTAGAGCTTTAAAAGACTATCCAACATGTTTGATGCAAGTTAAGATGTTTGGAATGCAATCAAGGAAACGCAAGTTAGTTAGTTTTGTTTATAAAGTGAAATAAGAAAAAAAACATTTTGTTCCGGCATTTAGGTAAGAAATAACAGTGGTTTTGCTAAAATACTGTAAGAGGCTACGTTTTGTCTGATTTGATATCAGGCAGTGAGCACAAATGGTCTTGATAAAAACATTTAGAATAGGAGCCCAAACATTTTTAACATACATATTTAAAAAACTAATAGAAACTGTAAGATATAGACAACACAGGAAAAGCACCCCCTCTGTGGTGCACTTGTCATTATTGTGTCCTTTTCTGGACTTTTTGGTTCTGTTTGTTTGCTTTCTGTCTTATCAGTTACACTTTGATTTATGTCATTCTGTTTTCTGGGTCATTGGTTTCATTTCCATTTTGTGGCATTCTAGTTGTTTTCTGATTGAATTTAAGCTCTTATGTATTTATTGATTAGCCTCTGTTGTCCCCTTGTGCCAGTCTCCTTTCCCTTAGCTCCCTTCTAGGTCCTTCTGTCCACACCTGCTCCCATCAGTTGATTACTCCATTCATTTTTCTGTTAGGCGGATATATTCCTCCCCTGCAGTTTGTTTCTCTTTGTTCCTTCAGTATTTCCTATTTTTTGGTTCCATAGTTGTTGTTTTTTTTTTTGTGAATTGGTTCTGGATTATGTCTTCTGTATTTTTACATCATTAAATTTAGCAAGAGATCATCTCTGCCTCTCCATCTCTGCATCTGGGTTCTTATCAAGTATCCACTAATCCTGACAGCACTGTATAAATATTCAGATGATTAATGTAATAATTCAGGGGAAATGTTTCCATGTTTCTCTTGACTTTATACAATAAGATCATTCTGAAATGTTTTACCCCCTGCCAATAATGCTTGGATATTGGATCAAAATGTGTAAACAAAAGTATTACTAAAGTGTCTTCACACTTGTGAAACCACATTATTGCACCTTCTAATTTTTTAACCATCCCATACTAACAGATATTTGTTTTTTATTTGTGTAGAATAAATATCCCATTATAAGTGGAAAATGCTATAAAATAATGCATCATGATCATTTTTTAAAGATAACAAAACCTGGCATTTTTATAGGGAAGTTTAGACTTTTAGAACAAACTGTTCATTTTAATGATGCTCTGTCTTTAAGCTATTAAATACAAACAAATTTAATATGCATGCTTTTATTGAGCTAAACTAAGGCTTGCATAATTTTGACCAACATAAAGCAAAAAGTAGATAAAAGATTAAAACCTTGAAAATTAAACTTCACAAGTAAAATATTTGGAGCTGCTGCAAAATAACTTATTAGAGTGAGGGAAGTATGTGATATATATCTGTGTAATCAGGAAATACATTTCTATATTCTAACATTTTTACACATGCTCACAAAGGGGAAGTTAAAATAGGTTTCACTAGTATCCCTAAACTACTTTCACAACAATTTTTAATTTTTTTAACAAAGTTTACCAAAAATATATCACAAAAACCGAATTAGCACTCACCTTGACAGAGACAATCAGCGAGTTTTTAATCTTCCAGAATAAAATGACGCTGGTTTACAAAGCAGATAGCTAACTTTCAAAGAGGAGGTTTTCCTTCCTCTTACAACATCTGCTCTGCGGCCTGTCATGTGAATCTCGTTTACTACCAGCTGCATTCTGACCCAATATAGCCTTCCAGTATTACTGCTGCAGCTCGGCAACATGCAAGAATCGAAATAAGTGTGAAAAAATTACGCGAGGGGGGAATCTTACCAATGCAGAAGTTTAGGAATTAATTTCAAATGAAACCAGCAGTTTTATTTGTGACAACTCTTTACTGGCATGCTGACTCATATTTTGCTTCTGGAAATGCAAAAAGAGGAAATACAGTTACAGTGAGGGGTTTACTGTAGATGCGCTCACATGCCCATGAATATTAGATTTTATTTAGGTATTTAGTGATTGGTTTGAGCTGTTTGTTATTGTTGAATGGACATGCAACACGTTAGATAAATTATTTTAAACAAGAATTAAGTGAATACTTTGTGTAAAAAATGCTCCCCAAGAAAACTTTTCTGAAATACCAGTTGGGAAATGACATATTGACCAGAGTAGCTAAAAGGGGACAAACTTGTCAGCCTTACGTGTTTTACCCGTATCTGAAAATATGTAATTTAGGGGAAAGAATTTCAAAACAAGCAGTAGAACTTTCTACCTTTCACTTTATGTTGCAAAGGAGGACCATCGGTAATCTTTGTCCCATTAGAGGCAGGAGAAACAAACACAAAAAAAAAAAGAAAAAAGGGGCAATGAGATTGAGAAAATGACATTTGTACAATTTTGAACAGGAGGCGACAATAAGAAGCAGCAGGGCTTCAAAACAGATGCAGAGGGTGGAGGTTTTCTGCTGGACAGGTAATTTGCATCGGATGAGCTCCATTCCAACAGTCATCAGCTCCTGCTTTTCTTCACTAAACTATTACGAGCAGGTTGACGGTTGGCTGCTTTTCATAGAGATTTTCCATATGTTTTATTATTTTTATTTCATTTGAAATCTCAGGACTCTCCTCTCGGTAGAGACATAGTTTTTGCAGAAGTCACATTTTTCATTGTTTATTTTAACAATGATTTGACAAGGGTTACAGAGGATGATATGTCCCCTGCATTGCAGTGATAGAGCCAGAGTGTAGGACCTTGTAAATTAGGCAAAATCTTTTAACCTTCACCATGTTATTACAGTCCAGTAGTCTATTTTGTTTTAGAATATGTCAGTGGTGGTAGGAAATAAGCTTTTTATCAAGTATTTTTAAACGTTAAAGGTTTTCAGTTTGTTGGACAAGCAAGAGACAATCAAGCAAATATGAGAAACACTCGAGTAAAAGTAAATATTTTTTTTTCATTCATATTTAAAATACTGCGAATGTGGCAGACATTTTGGTTATTAAATTTTATTTCCTGGGACACTTTGTTAACATGATTCTTGAATAAAGAATTTTGGATCTAAAATAACTCATAGATATTTAAATTCTGGAACTAGATCAGGCTTTACTCCATTCAAAATAATGTTTGATTAAGATCTGTAGGATGCTTTGGCAAGTACATGCAAACAGTTTTTGTGATGTTTAACATGGGACGCGAGCCAGTTGCACACCAATCACAAAGCACCTGTGAGATCTTTTGCAGCTTGCTGGATGCTTTTGCTGTTTCCAGGACCGACACCTGTGTCACTGGTCTTCCTCTTCTTTTATCTGATTGTCAGATTGCAGCTAACTTATAGGTACATACCACCACGTACTGTACAAGAATGTAGGCTTAAGTTTCCACATACTATATTCTATTTTTGAATTTTGTGTTATGTAAAAATAAAAACAATGCTTTATTTTTATCATAATTTCCTCCCTATCTCCATCTGTCCCTAAAATTCCTTTAATACTCCATTCTCTCCAGTTTCCCCTAATTACTTTCCTCATCCTCTCTCTTTCAGTTGCATATTTATAGCAATTCATCAGAACATGATCCACATTTTCTTTTCCTCCACAACCCTCACATATACCATTATTTCTCTTCCCTAGTATGAATAAAAACTCATTCAAGTAGGTGTGTCCAGTTCTTAGTGTAATGTAAATGATTTCTTTCCTTCTGCTTCTCTCTCCGTAATTTTTAAGTATTACAGATTTTGAAACCCTATATAATCTTCTTCCTTTCTCATTTTTATCTCATATTTTCTGCCATCTTTCTGCTTCATTCTTTTTAATTATTAATTTACCTTCCCCTTTTCCAAATGGAATCTGAACCGTAATCTGCTTTCCCAAAGCCTTTTTAGCAAGCTTATCTGCTATTTCATTTCCTCTCATGCCTTCATGTGCTGGTACCCAACAGAACTGAACGTCTCTTCCATATCTAGATAACCTGAATAAACTTTGATGAATTTCCAAGACAAGGTCTTTCCTATAGTTTCCTTCTGAGTGAATGCTTTCTATTGCTGCTTTTGAA